TTTCCCCTGGGAAATTCAGCTGTGGGGCAGGCATTTTAGTACCTCTCCCATATTTAAAATTTACATGTGTGATGAATCACGTTACCTTAGAGCAATGGAGTCACAGAACCACGAAGGCTGGAAAAGACCTCCAAGATATTGTTGGGTCCAGCTTGTGCCCGATCCCCACCTTGTCACCCAGACCAGAGCACTGAGTACCACATCCAATCCTTCCTTATAAAAACCTGGGGATTCTAAACCTCCCTGGGCAACCCCTTTCAATGCCTGACAGCCTTCTACATTTCCAAACACATTAAGCACTTCCTGAACTGCAAATATACCCTTGCTTAGTCCAGAGCTGGGAGCCACTATTGTCCCCACTCCCAAGACAGACAACCAGTTTTAGATTTTCCTCCCTTCTCCCTCCTTAGGAAGATCGCCAGAAAAAGCCTTTTATTGTCCAAAACATTATTGTTTTGCTTAGGTACAAAGGAATGAAAAATGTAGATATTTGTAGTATGTCTTACAAACTCTAAACTAATATAAGCTTTAAAAAGAGATTTACCCATGCTGAAGGCATAGCCTTCATATTTGCCATTCAAGCGCTTTTTCTGAGGAATACCTGATTTGGTAATGCAAGGAGGTAAAGAACTAAACCTGTATTTCTTTACGATGTGTAGCTCTACCATACAATCATGCACAGTGAAGGGAAGAAAAGGGTGATCCCATTAAATAGAATTAGCAAAATTTTTGTTGTATTTTTACCTTTACTGAGAGCAGCAATTCTGGAGTGGAAGGGAGAGAGGCCTCCTAATGTTCTCAGGAGGGCTCCAGACAATGTCTGCTCACTTCTCATGGCTTTCAGCTGCTCCACTCTGATCATCTTTTTACACAACTTTCACTGCTTCTGCTGCTGCTCTGAACTTGGCAGGGAAAGTGGAACAGTAGGGCAGAAAGGCTTCTATATAATGGATCAAAGGATACAACTGCCCCTGGAAGTCTTTCCTGGATGAATTACAGCCTATGGGGAAGGTAAGACTCTGGAGAAGAATCAGTACCCATTTGAAAAGTAGCTTCTTCACGTGACTGCAGGTGGGACAAGTCAAAGAATATTTGCTTTCTCTACTTTCTGATTGAGTGTAACGACACTGGGGTGTTTTGTTGTCCGTGGAATTCAAGATGAGAATCCACAAAATAGGATCTCAATTCCTTTGATGTCTCCAATTCTGGAAAAGAAATCCAGTACGCTGGGGTGAAAGAAACAAAAACTGCAACTTTACAAAAAGAATGCTACTTTTATTCTCAAATGCTGTAAAAAGCCTCATATAAATTTTTATAATGCTTCTATGTAACTTTCCCAACCACAACTAATGAAACAGTCTAGGAAAAATATAGCAGTTGCCATTTTGACTCCAAGAACGAGCTGCTGTGAGATCCCAACAGTAAAAGGACAAGGTACAGTGTGTTACAACGCCTGTAGTTGCCTGTGCTACTGAGAAAGTGAGAGCACTTCCTAAGCATTACTGGGCTAGACTGCAGCATGCCCTGCTTGCTGGGCACAGGAGGAATGCCACCCCTGGGGAAAGGGCTGAAAGCTGAGTGCTATTCCCAGTGCCCATTCCTGGTGCCCTCTAGCTGAACTTCCCCCTGGCAGATAAGTTGCCCTTATCCCAGACTGTCTCCAGCGGCTCAGGTGGGGAACAATTGACCTATAAAAATAACACTTCTATAACTCTCCAGCAAGGCAAATTGAACAGTGCAAATGCAGTATTAACAAGATTTGATTTCTGAATGCTGGCAATTTTTTTAAACTCCTTTTGCACATGAGACAACCTCTGCTGATGTCCTGTACCTAAGGCCACTCGCTCATGATTGGAGATGGAACGAGGTGCAAAAGCTCAGCTGCAGTTCCCAATCCAAGCTTCCTCCCCACTTTCAGGGAATTCCAATTCAGAATTTGGATTCAGGCTCTCCACTTCCATCAAGTTTTCCCTGCTGGAATAGGTAAATGTCCCAGCAAACCTCTGATAACAATTTGCATACACAATTCCACGTTTTAACAAAAGTTTAACAAAACATACTTCCAGAAAATAAATTTTCACATGGTTGCAATCATCAAGCCATTTCAGGATCTTTGGTACTCCAAGAATAAGAAAAATAAATGGCACAGTGACAAACATTGCCAAAGGAAAACACACAACCATCCAAAGGAATCAGACAGAAAAAAACCTCCAAAATTAAAGATATGTTGCACTTCCATTGTTTTTTGAAAGCCAGTGTAGATTAATCTGCTGTTCTCTTTAATCAATTACAGTGTCACAGTTTCACCTTTAGAAAAAAAAAGCCCTATCATCCTAAAAGCAGTAGTTAATATTGTTTAACTTGACTTACTGATTAAAATAATGCTATGTTTACAAAAAAAATTTAAAAACTCAACTATCACAATACAGGAGTTTATGCTAGATAGGCTGCAGGCTGTTTCCTTATGGATATAACTCCTATGTGAGCACTGATATGATTAATCATCTGCAGTTTTAAATTAGTATTATCTTTAGTGTTGCAAGTAGAAGGGTTGAGCTTTTTCCCAAGTTTGTAAACCAGTGAGTATGTACAGACAGAGTTGTTTAATAGATAGCTTTAAATTAAATGTGTATTTTTCTGCCCTCCCCTAAGCCCCACAAGAAAAAAAAAATCACCAGTAACACTGAGCATCTGCAGTTTCCATGAAACTGAGCTTGTCTCAACAGGTTTGAGCAAAGACTTCTTTGCAGTTAATGGGGTTACTGTGCTCTTCTGAGAGGTGGTGGTTCCAGGAATTCCAATTCCAGTGCACACGGTGCCCCATGGATGAGACTGGAAATTAAAACCAATGAAAACTGTTTTGAATAGCAGTGTCCTTTGAGGCCAAGTTTGCATCTCAGGAGTTTTTTTCTCCTGCCTGAGCTTCTCCATTTTGGAGTCTAGGCCTTAAGGAAAGGCATTTCCTTTCCTGAGAAGCCTCAGGATCTGTAGAACAATGCCTGAAAGGTGGATTTAAGTGAGTTATTGTTTTTCTACAGCCTTTGGATGGCCACAGGTTGAGCCTCAGCATTCTGACAAGGCTAAGAACAACACCAGAGAATTTTTAAGGAACTTGCCCCAACAGCAGTACAGGGATGCTAACTGGTTTAAGGTCTGGGAAGCAAATCTGGGAGATCAAGGAGCTGTTCCCACCTCAGTCCAGCATTTAGGCAGCTCAGCTTAGCTTTACTCTTAACACTGGATGGGCCTGAGGCAGTGGCTACTTCTCTTTGAGGAACTGAAGACTGAAACTGTTTGGTATAAACAACAGATATTAGATGCTTCAGGGGAGACAAAACCATGGAGGAAAGGCTGGATCAGGGATCTTGGCTGAATCAGGGAAGAATACCTGCCCATCACAGGCACTGATGCACAGAAACCTTGCTGGCAAATGGGCTCTTTATGCAACAGATCAACATTCCAGTATGTTTTTCAGAGTATACAAATAATTCAGAACAGCTGACAGTGCCTAACACTAAATATTTCTCTAATGGCTTTATAACAGTAGTTCCCATATTGCTACCAAAGTCTGTCCAGTGGAATCTTTCCTGCTGTATGCCAAAACATCCTGTGCTCCACTCAGAGGAAGCTGCAGAGGTTTTAGGGTGCCTTTCACTGGTGTTCAGAGGAGGGAGACAGCAACAGTGACTCTGCTTGTTCAGTCACTGGGGAATTGTTCATTGCTGTACATCTCTTGACCAGAAAATGACAGCAGAGATTCTGCTGTACTGTGACAGATTCAAAGCCCTGCAGACAAGCTGTAAGTACAGGCAGAGAATTAATATCTGGCAGTGACCAGATAATTGCAAACTGCTTAGGCAATACAACTCAGTCCTGAACTACTGCTGGGCTGATGAACAAAACCAGAGCCTGCACATGGAGGTATTTCTGCTTCTGCTTCCTCTGCCTGGGGAAAGGAGACCTGGCTTGGCTGTCAGCTTGTCACCATCCTGCAGACTGGCCACAAGAACATTTAGCTGGTCCCTGGAAATTGGGCTGCAGCTGATCCCTTCTAATCCCATGGCCATGCCAGGTGGAAATCTTGGAAGAAAAGGAGTCCACTGGAGAGTCTGAATCTAGTGAGACACTCCATTTCCTCTATGTGAGCAGAAGCTGCAATTCTGGAGAGGTTAGAGTAGGATCCCTTCTGCCTGCAGCTGCTCAGGGAGGCAAGAAAAGAAAAAGCACCAATCTGATCACTTCTCTAGAACACATTTTGCACAGAGAGAAGAGAATGTTTGAATTATGAGCAGCTCAAAGATGATCTGCTTTAGAGCAGAGGCAGGAATGCAGTCTTGGAAACTCTGCCATCTCCTCAAAACTTCATATAAGAACCCTTCCCTTCTGCTAAAAATATTGATACTTTTTACTCAGATTACGTTTTTTTTTCTGAAATTGCCAGCAAGCATCATCACTTCTAACAGCAATACTGCCAATGATCATTTAAAGCAGAAATACCACTAAACAGATCACAGGGACTGCCTCACTGCCACACACTGTGGGAAAAAGGACAAAAGGGATGATGATGAAGGGCTGATAAAGTCCTGCACTCAGGGCAAGAGCGGGCACACAGGACACAAGGAGGCCCAGAGAACACTGCTATTTAAAGTAATTCCATGTGCTACACTCATGGGGGATCTGCAGACCACAGATGGAACACCCTTGAACAACTGCTCAGAGAGGTTTGCAAATGTGGACAGTTTTCTTTATACTGCATATCTAAACCCCACCAGCTGAGCAGTACAACAACAATGCTGCATCAAATGATATGTTTCCCTCCTGGGTGGATTAGATGGTTTACAGTACAAACAAAGCCACAGTACAGAGAGGCATAATTAACCGTTATCCACACGTAGGCAGTGCAGGAAAAGCGATGCACGTTCCTTTTATTCCAGTACCTTTGTATAATAAAGTTAACAAAATATTCAAATATAAAAAAAAAAAAAAAAAAAAAAAAAAAAAAAAAAAAAAAAAAAAAAAAAGGGAAAAAAAAGGAAAAAAAAAAAAAAAAGCCAGCTGGCACTGCCAACTAATTCCTGTAGTAGTCTTAGAAATCCTAATCCTGTAGAATTTCTGTGTGAAATCGATGCGCACCAGTCGATGTGTTGATAACTAACGCCAAGCGGGCCTGGTGATGCAGCTACCTGAGGTTTGTGTTTGCAATTTCCTTTGGGGGGTTGTGTTCTGTTTCACAACTTCCCAGCTTTCATGTAGGAAGGGATGGAGCCACGCTGGGTGAGCCCTTCAAACCTCTTGTAGGTGTAATTGAGGAAAACCCAGTCTTTGGATTTGTAGTCAGGTTCCGTTGTGTTTGGCACTAGAATTCAGAAACAAAAGCAAACACACATTAAGAGTTAAACCCAGGCTGCTTCTGAGAGGACTTTTCACAGAGCTAAACAGCCCTGAACTCTTATTTCCTTAGTCAGCAGAAACTCCTGGAAGAAATCCTGTTTCTAAACAGGTCAGTTGCCTTTTGTCAATGGTCTGAGTTATAATTTCAGCACAGAACTCTTAAGCAGAAAAAGGGGGGTTTTTGTTTTGCCTTTTAAAAAAAAATTATGTCTACACACTCTACCAGGTTTCTAAACCTTGGCAGAAGCCTCTAACACACCCACAGGATACACCATTACAAACCTCACGACATTTCTGATGTTCTGACTTTTAGGTATCTACATGTACAGTACCATTTTCAGTGGGTCTGAAATGCCAAAATAATATAAATGTTCTTGGCATTATACAAATACGGATTTAACCGGCTTAGGCACTGGAGATGTGTTGCTTTGCATCAAAAGGACAAACTTCCTCACCATTAAATAAAGGCCATTACTGAAAAAAAAAAACAAAAAACAACAGCTTTTGGATAATTCTTATGGCTGTTAACACAGCTGCACTTAGCAGACAGCAATTAATCACTGTTAAGCATCTGCCAATCTTCAAGTAACTGAAAACAATGAGACATGGGACTACTTGTATGTCATAGAACAAAGCCTTTTACACATGAAATTTTCCTGTAACTTGCCAAAAGAAATCAACAACTTAAAAAAACCCTGAAGTGATTTACAGAGCAACTCAGGTTCATCAAATACTGCATTAAATAATCAACTGTCTGAAAATTCTTACCCACAAATATCTCAACAATTATGTTTGGCACAAACCTCAAAAGTCACTGAAGATGAAAAGCAAATCAGTGCATGATATTGTACCAGAACCTGGTTAGGCAGGCTGCTTGGCAGAAAACTCCACTGCTTTTTGTGCTCACTACTGTGCAAACCATTTTTACCTAGAGTTTGGACTCTTAAAATCTCTGGGCTTTGCAGCTATGAGAGATCACAGGTTTACATTCATATTTCAAAGAAAATATAAAGACTGGATCTATAGATGAACTTGGTTGGGGCATCAGAAAAATTAATATAAACAACAACAAAGGCATCTGTGCAGTCTTCCGGCATGTCACAGATGGAGATTTGGAATTTACAATGGCAGTCTCACCTGGCTGTAAAATGTCTGACTCAGGAAATTCATCAAAGTTGGAAGTATCATCAATACTTTTGATTTCTATAGGGATTGCAGCTGGTCTTTCCCTGCAAATACAGACAAATGCCAGGAGAGTGAATATTAGGAAATGATACATTAAGTTCCAGTTTGAACGTAGCTTTTTACACTTACAACTTTCCCTAATGCAGAGCACAAGGGTTCCACTGAGTGCATCACAGATGAATCTGACTCTGCTGTTTGCTGACACCTTGGGGAGATTTTTTGGTTCCCTGTCCCCATTGGTGTCTTCCTGGCAGGCTTGGAGCAAACATCTTTAAGTGAGAGAGCATCCCACACTTGTCTGTCACACAGCTATCACCCTGATCTTGTCACCAGCCACCACTGTGGTTACCCTGTTTTACAAACCCAGCCCAGCAGGATTGTACTTGCACCCAGAGCTTTACAATTCCAGTGCTGATGAGCCTGGACCACATCCAAAACCTTTGGACTGTAGCTGCTCTTTGTGACACTCAGCATCTCCCTCCCAAACCAGGCTGGCTCTGCTTCAGCACCTCCACAGTCAGGGAGCCCTTGAAGGAGTTCTAAGGTGGCTTTTGAAAATGCCCAAGGAATCTGTGCCAGCAAAACGTTCACACTGGGACACAGCACTGTGGGAAAAGCAGTGATTTACACCTCTAAACTCACCACAGTTCTAATTACTACACTTACAATTAAATCCACAGCCACCCTACAACCATTTCTTTCCATTCTGGGCAGTCTGGAACAATCTGAGGTATCTAAAAGTCAGTTAAACTCTGACCATTTCTATTCATGTCAGCAAGGCCAGAAAACCTTCAGTGTTAACTCCCTACTGCCTTTCTAATGAAAGATAAATTGGAAAAAATTGTCTTTGACATCACACTGCATGAAATTCTTGCTTTCATGGCTTTTACTCTCCCTGTAAAACACATGTGTATATATATACCTGATATGTCCCCAGTCTACTCCTTCAAAAAATGGATGACTTTTTATTTCCTCTACTCCGTTGCTACCAATTCTGTTTTCTGAGTCGATACAAAACCTGGAAAAGGGGAAAAAACAAAGCGAATATTATGATAAATTCCAACAGAAGCAACAGTATCCAGTATCAAGAATTTCAAGAAGTTCTGTCAAACTGTTCCATCACTTGGGGTAACATCAAAGCAGCCCACTGCATCTGGGAGAGAAGGGAAACAGTAGAAGCAGAACATTGTTAAATCACAAAAGAAAAAGCTATGATGCCAATAACTGACACCTTTTCTAAACTGCTGTATCCCCATCTCCCAGGTTTGTGAAAAGCTGCTGCATGTTCTGGTCCTGGTAAGATCACTTTGGAATGGAGGCTTAAATCCCTACTACTGAGAACTGCCCTAGCATGCTCTCAACTATTTTAAATAAACATCCCCATCTCACAGTCAAACTAAGAAGAATAGATATACTTAGTAAATCAGGACTGCTCTCTGATGTCTGCTTTGGAATCCCAGTGAGCCAGGCCATTCCAAACGTGTCATATTCCTATTATTCCCCTTCCCTCTCCTCAGAGGTGCAGGTGGTACAAAGACTCAGGACCTGTTTCTGATACAGCCCTGCTGCATAACCTCTGCTCAGACCCCACAAGAAATTGTTGGTTTATGAGAAGCAGGCATGAAATAGCAGGAAGGAAAAGGTGATATTGGAGACAGAGGATTAGCAAGATGGGGACTGTTACCAGCTCCAGCAGACCAGAAGGAAAAGCCTAAAATCCTAAAGAAGGAAAATAGGCAGGTGGAAGCTCTCTGACAGCAACACAGTGACCTCAGGGATTTGTTCCAGGGAGAAGCAGAGGCTGACCCTTCTCCTCTGGACTGGAAAAGCCTTTTAAGTATCCTATCCAGGAGATGGGAATACCAACATTTGCCTAGGAATTCAATAAATCCCAGCCATCTTCTGCATGTGTAGCACAGCAGGTTAGGCTATAAATGGTACCCAGTTATAAATTAAAGTTCTTTTGCTTGTAGTTGGGTGTCAGTGGGGAACAAAACCTGCCTGTATCTGTATTGCAGCCCAGCAGGCTGGGTGGTGCCAAGGATTAACAACAGACCTCAAACCTGTAAGAACACTCAGCCACAGGATTTGTCAGGCTTTGTCTGAACTTGAGCTTGTTTTAGTTTGGATTTATCTCTCTCCATAGCCCTTTAGCATTGTCTGCATCTCCTTTTAAGCTAAAAGATACATTGCCTAACTTGTCCAAGCTGTAATGGATAAAGTACCCAAAATGCCCAGGGTGGTTGCTGTCCAACCTGTTTTGACCTCATTTTAATAGATTACCCATAACTAAGATGTTTTACCCCAGTTTTAACCCTTCTACTTGTGTAGGCAATGATAAATTCAAGTAGTCTTTGTGTAAGTAGATGCATGAGCAAGACATGCTAACAAATACACTGAAATCTCTTAAAATTCCCCCAACACTGTTAGGATTGAGGAGGAAGAAATCCTCAGCAGTAATGCTCTGCTCAGCAGAGAGCTTGGGATGCTGACAAGGAAGGTTGAGCAGAACAGTAGAGAAATAGATACTGAAAATGCAATATTAACTGTTTGACACAGACTCATTCACGAGGATTAGTGACAATTCAATTATTTGAGCTGTTAGTATTGCTAGCTGGATGCAGGATAACTGTTTGGTGTATTTGTTATGTTTTTGTAGGTTACTGGAGCACTGCTGGAACTAATTATGAATTCTAGTTTTGTGAAGCATGTTCCCCTTTTTGCCTGTAACAAAATTGTATAAATCTGTAACATTAGCTTTGAAAAGGAAAAAAAGGGGAAAAAAAAAAATCAAACCCAAAACCAATGTACTCCCCCCAAACCCTCCCAGGACAAGAGAGCATTTCTGCCTGAGCTTGTCCCCAAAACCCTCACAAAAGCCTCAGTGCAAACTAAAAACTGGCATTTTGAAAGAAGTCAATAAATCCAAAATATCCCAGGATTTCTGTCCAGTGAATTAAATACTGGTGAGAGGTTTCTTTCTTGCCACCTCAGAGAAGAAAAAAGTTCTGTGTTGATCACTTTCTTTTTTGGTCTGCTCTGTTTCTCCTTATACCATGGTACAAATCAAGATCATTCCAGCTTATTCATTCATGTTAAACAAGTGGCAAAGGGAAAAAGACTTTACAAATCCATCAAGGATGGTGACAGAAGAAACCAGCCTTTTCTCCAAAATAAAGCTTCCTTGACACACAACAGAAATTTACCCTGATGGAAGATGACCCTGGCTGGGCAAGAGGCCAGAACTGGGTTTTTCTTACTGACCTTAGAATTAAATCCTTTGCTTTCTCTGAAATGGGCACCTCTGGAGGAAATACCAATGTTTCTTTCCAGTTCATAACTTTCCTGTAAGTCTCTTGTGGCGTTTCTGAGCAGAAAGGTGGATACCCTGCACAAACAAACAAACAATTAATAAACTTTTTTCCAGGAGAGCAGTGACCTGGGCCTCTGCTTTTGTCACTGGGGCTCCCAAATATAACAAGTATTAGCCAGGGGTTTGCTCGTCTCAACAAATGGTTCTGTTACCTTTGAACAACTCTTAAGTTGGGGTTTTTAACATACCTATTAGCATTTCATACATAATCACTCCCAAAGACCACCAGTCACACAGCTTGTTGTACCCAGTCTGCATAAACACTTCTGGAGCAATATAGTCTGGGGTTCCCACGGTAGAATATGCCTGGAAAAAAGGAATAATCTCTTTAAAAGAGAAATACTGTGGTTTTAAAAGGTATTTTGCAATACCTTTTCCTGGGTATTTGCATACAGGATCTTGTTGTTTGGGTGAGCAAGAATGCTTAATTTGAGAATTTACAGAAACTCAAGTCCCAAGAATATTACTCTTCTATATTAATAAACACAGAGAACGTCAAAAATAAATTGAAATCATCCTCTTTAACATGATGAAATCACAGAATATTGCAACTGCAATATCAGAAGGTCACCTTAGCTTAAGTTTCAGGTAGCTGCATTACAAAAATACCCAAGAAGTCCTATTGTTGTTGTCTTTGTTTATTTTTAATGGCATAATCAATGGGATATTCCCAAGTGTGACACTTATGATACACAAGCCATGTATTGGGAATTTTTTACTGATGAAAAATCTTCAATGGGGCAGGATGGAGAGAAAAAAACCCAAAATCCAACAAAAAAAACCCCTTAAAGACCATAAAAATCCTGCAAAAGCAGTTTTGCCACAAAAATATTTTACTTTAATTTGTCTGACCTTAAAGAAACACTTTGAACAGACCCGAGATATTTAGGACTGAACCAGTGGAAAACCAAAAATGTGGCTCCTTTTCCAATAGTGTTGATGCAAATTGTCATTTTGGCCTTTTATTGCCTCTGTGGCACTGTTCTTCACCACACAGTTCTGCCACATCAGCCTTTACTGGACTTGAGATAAATTCTTTTTGAGATCTAATTCCAGGCTGGAATGAGGCTGTGAAATACAGCCCCACGAGGCAGTGTGGTGGCTGCAATGTAATCTCATTTTGTTTCATGAGGAAAGAAGAGACCACAAAAAGCTTTGGGGGAATTCTGCAGTAGATCACTTTTGAAAAAGGGTCTGGAAAAATAAAGGGTTCCAAAATCTGACAGCTGAGTTTTTTTTGGTGAAAATCATGGGCAGGCATGAAAGTCTGAAATGCCATGACTGACAGACACCTTGCTTTGGTTCAGTTTATGCCACAAGTCCCCCATCCTCACCACAAACCCAGGCTGGAGCACTCCAGCAGCAGCACCCTCCCACAGCCTGTCCCCCACATTTCCATTTAGCAGATTGAGCTCTCTGGATAGGAATCCTGCAGCCACACATCTGCTTGTGACTGAGCTGCAGGAATCAGAGGCAGGAGTCTACACACGGCTTGGCCACGGGGCCAAGGACACCTGAGGGCTTGGGACAGATGCTCACGAGGCAAACAAAGGCATAGAGAAGAGCAGAGTCTGCTATTCCAGCCTGGACCCCCTTTTGAGTTAGTTGTGATTTTGGGAGCTTCTAGAGAGCCACATATGAGGGCCTTGCAGGTTTTAAAAACCTGGAGCATTAGCACTGAGTTTTAACACTTTCTGTAACTAGTTTAAAAGCAATCCAAGAATTATATGTTATTTAATTAACTCACCAGCTGTCTCCTGTTCTTCTTCCATGTTTCTGCTTTCCTCTTTGAGTTCATATTCTGAAATGCTAATTTACAAAGCAGTTATTAAATAACAAATGTATTTGTGAGAATTAAGAGAAAAAAGATTTACAGGGCTCCAGTTTTAAATAACTATTTTGTGTATTTGGAACCCTAGTCTAGAAACAAATACTTGATTATAACTGAAAATGGGACTATGAGAATAACTACTGTCCAATGCATACCTGAAACTCATGTAAGTAGGACACACATCAGCAATTCTAAATTAGAACTTGCTAATATTTTAGATCAGCTTCTGAAAAGTTTCATGAGACTGTCACTAACTTCAGTCCTTTTGGCACATGGAACCCATGCCCATCCTGAACGAACAGTTCTGGAACTTCACTAACATTATGAAAAACACATTAAAATATAGTTACATTGCATTATGAGTGTTCATATCTGTGTATGAATGTGCAAAACTCATGACCACTGCAGAAATCATAATTTCTTGCCTGTGAAATGCTCCCATGACCCAGAAACGAGCATTTCCAGTTTTCCAATTAAATGCAATCAGCCTGCCCCATCTTGCTTATCCCAGCAGAAACACAGGTACAATGTACAGCTGCAGCTCAAAACCATTTACATGTTAAACTAGGACAGCTCATACTCACAGAAGTCACTTGGTGGGTTGTGTGTGAGGTTCCTGTAGAACTCTGTTCTGTGGGCTTTCTTTAAACCTGTGCAGAGCCCAAAATCAGACAGCTTTACATGACCCTAAAAAAACAATCAGAGAACACAAAATCATTATTTAGATACGTAGTGCTTGAAAAAAAAAAAGGGCTTTAATCACTGCACACACCCTCTCAGGCCATGATGGACTGGCACAGGACAAGCAGGGAAGCAAAGACTGAACCTTGGTGTACTGGAAGGGTCTGTTTTCCCTCCAAGAGGCTATGGCCTCCCAGAAATAGCTATATCTACAATTTCTCAACAGCTGAGGGCAGCTACTTTGCCTGGTTTTGTTTTGAACTGCATACCACTGTGACTGAGAAAGCCTCCAGGATAAAATTCCTTTGCTTTGTTTTGATAGTAACCTTGGCTTTAATCAGGTTTCCAGACATCAGTGCAGATAGAACCCATCAAACCTGACAGACCTGTGCATGCTGTGATAATTCCCGGCCTCCATGATCTTAAAGATCTTCTCCAACCTAGATAATTCCATGATTTGGTGATGCTTACTGGGTGCATTTCACAGCCAGCATGGTCAGTCTAAGCAAGGGAGTCTCCACAGGTCAGTGGGTGATGAAATAAATGGAACTGAGGGAATTTAACATTTAGCATTGTCTAAATTGTTCACAGCTACTTCAAGATGCATGAAAGGAATGATGCACCTTTTAATGTGTCTGAATATCAGAGTCTGGTCATCCTGAGTGGGTTTTCTCCCTTAAAATGGTTCAAAGGCTTCTGAGTAAGATTTGGCTTGTTTAAACATATTGGTGTTCTCCAAGTAAAATACATTGGGCACTCCCTGCCTTCCCTCCAGCCAGTTTAAACCTCTGGGGTGGCCCCAGTGGCTCCCACTGCTCCTCAGCAGGATCTTGGAAGCACCAGCATTTTGTGAGCCCAGTACATGCCTTAGCATCCAGCAGGAGATTGTCTGGTTTGATGTCCCTGTGGATAAATCCCAGCTGGTGAATGGCATCAATGGCCAACACTGTCTCAGAAATGTAAAACTGGGTCTCCTCCTCTGATAAAGTGTCCTTCTTCATTAGTAAGGTCATCATATCACCTCATCAAAGAGAAGAAAATACAGCTTAGGGATCAGAACATTTTAAATCACAAAACTCTAAGAAACCCCAGCAGAATCCCAATTTAACCTTGTAACTGGCCTTATAGTTACTAATCATAAAACTATTACTGCAAGGACCTACAAACCCAACTCACTATTTTTAGTTGAAAATCCTAAATAGGAATTTTAATTGAACAGCCTGGGAAAACACAGTGGATTTTTACACATGTTAAATTTATTGCACAAACTGTTTGAACAAGGGCTTTTCTTTTGGTTTGTTTTTACTGATAACAGCCTCAGTCATAGAAAGCAGAAATTTCTATTAGAATAATTACTTAATTTAAGTCCATTTAATACCCCTTCAACCTTTTTCCTTCCCCTAAAAATCAGGAATAGTCACATGACTGGAACTTCATTTAAAAGAGTGTTAACATGTTTATTTTCACACATTATACAACATTTTTTTTTTCTAATATTTTATAAAGCTGCCAACAAAAGCTAAGGAAGAAATACCTGTATCACCTGATGCCACAACACCCAGCTTACCTCCAGGTAAAAACTCCATGATCAGGTAAAGGTTCCTTTTATCCTGGAAGCTGTAAAACATTTTCACTACCCAGGCTCCATCTGCTTCAACCAAAATATCTCTTTCTGCTCTGATATGGGCCACCTAAAATTTAAAAAAAAAAATTATTAAAGGGCAAATATTGAAATATTTAAACAAGGAACAGCACATTACATCCTAGCCCTACAGCATATTTTCATGACCTTTAGCAAAGGAACTGTTTTTCTACCTTTTTCCATACTCATATTTTCTATTATTTTTTACAGGAACGTAGGGTTTCTCTAGAAACACAAAGCACAGCTTGTTAAGATGGTTCTGTTTGTTAGAAAGACCTGACAAAGCTGGTGGAAAAAGTGCAAGTTCAGGAATATCTGACCTTACTCAGGATATTCAAGTTCCAGCTAAGATTTTGGAAAATACATGGAAAGCTGCTACCCCATCATTTGCTGGAAATTAAGAATAATGGAGATTGGGTGGAGGGGTGTGTCTTTTCACTACAACATACCCTCATCCTGGAGGAAAAATTAAAGATATATGCATGGAAAAATATTTCTTGACAGCTGTAAGAAAAGCAGCAATCTTCTGCATCTGTTCCCAGTTCTACTGGTGAGGAACATCTTCCCATGAATCTTGTCACAGGGCTGCATGGGGCAAAGGTTCTCCCTCTGCAGGCGACACTCCAGCCAGGATTTATCTGGCTTTATTTTGTCTCATTAGAAAGTATTTCCTTCCACCCTCATCTCCACAATGCAGCTCTAAAATACAACAGGAAAACTTTGCTTAAAAATAGCCAGGATTTCTCTCAGTGCTACCAGGCTTGGGGAAAAAAATATTAGAAATTCCTTTTTTTTTTTTTTTTTTTTTTAACACGCGTCCTCTGTTGCCTCTGCACAGAACAAGGCAGGCCATGAAAATTGCAGCAGATAAACACTGGCCAGGGAAGGTCACTGTTCCAAACTGAATGCAGAGTGTGAGCTCAGAGCTCCTTCCCACATCAGGTTCTGAAATGGGGGCAGCACCACACAAGTCCTGGCTGCTCTGCACACCCTGCTGCTCCTCTGGTTCCCTAAATTCAGGGCATGAGCTGCAGCAGACAAAATAATCTGTGCCAGGAAAAAAAAAAAAGTATCACTATTGCCAGGAAATGATGTGCAAATGATGGGTAAGGTTTGGATAGTATGAAAAAAGTCCTTTTATCTCCTGAGACAGCCACACTTGATTTCTTTGCTTTGTGATGCTAAAGTACTTGCTGTGTCCTCACAGTGAATTGCTAGCTAAAAAGTAAAAGCAAAAACCAAACCAAACTAACAAAATCAAAACTAATAAACCCCAAACGAGATGAACCCAACTATAAAGCAAACCCAAGGAAGATAATGCTGATGAACAATGTGATTTTTGCTGGTTTTCTTTAAACTAAAACATCAAATACGTCCAGTTTTACTTTTGCACAAGATTATTTCTCCAGAAGCATTTTCCTTGAAATGCAGTTTTACAGATTCAATAAGCTCCGTGTTGATAAGGGGAGAAAAAGAAAATCTTTGTCACTGTTCCAAACTGGTTGTAAATAAAGTATTTTTTTTAAATACAGTTGCATGACCTTATTTCCTAACTTCTGTTGCTTTTGTGCTGTGGTAGCAACACCACAGACCCTTTGGACTGCCAGACTATTGTATGGGTTTTCAAAGGTGGAAAACATTGTCTAGAAAGGCTAAGTTTGAAATTTAGGGGACTTATGGATCACAAACCTGCTCTTTCTCCAGCATATCTGCTTTTCTCAGTATCTTCATTGCATAAATGTGACCTGTATCCTTCTTCTGAACGAGGCGGACCTTTACCAAGAGAGAGAACCCAGTCAGTCTTCTCTGCCTCAGAAATCCACTGGAACCCTCCCAATTGCCAAGTATGGAAAAGTTCTCTTGTTAAATATTTCAAAACATATTTTAGTATTATAAATTTTGAAAAGGAATTATTCTGGACCATGTACAACACTAACACGAACAAGGGACAGTTTTTGTTTAAGGAAAAGTCAGCAGGCACAGTGAATTCTGGGTAGCTTGGACTGTGTAGGTTAAAATTCAGGAGGAGAAACAACTGATGTGACAGAGGGCAGAAAGGTTTATCAAGAGGGGTTGTGCCACTGCAAATCCATAATTGCAGAGGGCCATGTGGGCAACATCAGTGTGGGATGCCATGGGAATGTAAGTGTCTTTCCAGAAGCCTTGGGAAATGAATGCATGGCATTAATCACCACACTCATCACACTTGGAGAACGGTACAAAAAGCTGCAATACAGCAATTAATTAAATTGTCATTAGAATGTTTAATTACAGTGGTCAATCCCATTTTAATTGCATGTTCAAGCAAGAATGTCACAAACCTCCCCAAATGCTCCTCTTCCTATGACTTTCAAGGATTCAAAGTCATCCAAGCCGAGCCTGGTCCTCTTGAGGCGCAGGAACTCTGTTTCCTTGCGAGCGTGCTGTGACCTGCGCAGCTTTTTCTGAGGACACAGACATAGGAATCTGTCAGTCATGTGGCAGAAGACAGTCAAGATATGCACCCACCCTTCCTGGGAAGTTGTTCTCTGGAATCCCAGCAGGAGAAAGACTGCTCTTTCTACATTTCTTTCTGAATTTCTCAGAGTATAATCCTTGAGTATGGCTTTCTACAGAAGCCTCAGGCACAGTTTCGCCTTTTTTTTGGTGGGTGGTGGTATCTTATTTTTATTACTTAGTTATTAAAAAAAATTTATGAAGAAAAACTATCATACTGGTTCAAACAAAATGTATCAGTCCCAAGGCCAAAGTAACCGCCTGAGGCAAGGATTCTTAATTTTGGGCAGTGTGAAGGATCAATAAAAGCTGAAACTTGTACCCTAAGTGATGACAGGTAACAAGGAGCTCAGCAAGCAGCAGAGGCCCTGGTTACAGACCTACAACAAAATCCATTTGGTTTATGTCAGGCAAACAACCGATTCTGAAAGAAAAATCTGTCCAAATGCCATAATCTATTTTGTCTGATGAAAATGTCACCGTGATTCACCTCAAGAGAAGACAAATACTGCACCCAAAGACGCTGAGAGCTCAGAGTCTGCTAAGGAGGTGTCTGGATCAGGCACCTGCCAGACTCCGTGCTGGGATTACAGCATCCTTTAAAGCCACAAGATGGCAATACACACCCACACTCATTTTCCCACTTCTCAGGAGTTACAGCAGCAGCAAAAACTGCAGAAGGACTGAGACACTCTTCCTATTTATTTCCCAGCTTATCCTGAAGGCAGACATGGTGTAATGGACCTCAGAAAAGCAACTTATTGGCTGAAGTTCTGTGAGGTGGCAACCAGACTGAGATCCTTCCTCATCTGTGTCCAAAAGGAGCAAAGGTATGATGGTTTATTGTTTAAATCAAGAAAAAACAGGTCAGCATTTTGCTTTCTACCCATTTCTAACCACATACCACTTTTTCCCCTTACCAAATACAACAGCAAGCAATTTTTATCTTTGTAAAGCTTGCTAGCTACTTGTTGTGGCCATGTCTCATCAGAACTACAGGTAGCATGAAAAGCCTTGGATAGCTATTTCAAATATCAGTCAAGCTTATTCCCAGCTTCCCTAACATAAACAGGTTATTAACAGGGGCAACACTCATGTACAGAATAAAACCTGTCATGCTGGCTGATGTTTCTGTGAGCTCTTCAAATGCCCATTTGAAGCAGTGGGACAAGAGCAAAGCAGTTTCTAAGGTTACTTAAGCAGTACTTACCTCCTCATCTGCAAGGCCTTCCTCTTCCATAGCCACTTCCAGCTTCTTCTGTCTGCCAAGGAGAGAAACAGAGGATTGCACCTTTTATTATTTATTAAAACCAAACATAACACCACAGCAAGTCAACACCTTTGCTTCACATATTCCAAGTACTGAAGAATTTGCCTCAGATGGAAATTTGAAGGCAGACAGTCCCACTCCACCCAGTTACTCATTTGTGAACAAAGCTGAGGAAAATGTAGAAGCAAATTTAAGCACATGCTTATGTAGTTGCAGAATCAGGCATTAAACATATATGAAAAATTATGCCATTAGTCATTATATCTTGTTGAACTAAGACTGTTTTTATCAATTAGGATTACAAACCAGAATAAAAATGTTTTTTTTCACTGTTTCTATCTCATCTTCCACATGCCAGCCAGCTCCAGCTTCCATCCCCTCTGTGTGACAATCTCCCTCTCAAGTCACACACTGGTCCTGCCCCACTTCCTCCCATGCCAACTAAACTCTGCCCCCTGGATGCACCACTCTCTCCCTCCTGTGCCCTGCCCAGGCCAGGAGGGCTCACAGCTCCAAGTCTTCCACCAGTGCCATGCCAGGCTGGGAGGCTCTGAGAGGGGAGCAAAGCCTGGGAATACCCCACAGGTGGCAGGGGGGGTCAGCACATGGCAGTGTGGCTGCAGGACTCCTTTCTCTCCACCCACAGGATGCTCCTTTACAGCTGCCAGGGTGCAACTTTCTGAAGGCTGGTTACTTTCAGCAGCCCTGCAGCAGGCAAGAATTCAAAGGCTTGGAGCCAGGCTGCTGGTGTCTTTCTGCACGTTGGGAAGTACAGCAGGATCCTCTAAATTACAGGCCCCTGATAGACAGTCTATTCTCCTAACTAGAAGCAACTCCATTACATGGAATAATGACTAAATATGATGAAGAGAGAAACCCTGCTGCTTGACTGAAAACCCTTCAATTAAAAACATATTACCAGGGGAATGATAATTTCACACACTAATGACAATCCAACACAACATTTATTATAATCAAACACTTGGTGCTTTGACACCTAATTCAAGCGGCACTTCACACCTCAGAGCCGGGACTGGGCACTACTGGGAGAAGCTGAGTGGTGATGACCATCCCATATTCCTATTCAAGGAGTACCAGGCAGCACTACCCAAGCAAAATTAACAGATGGGGATTACATTATCTTCAAAAGTCTTCCTGCCCATCTGAGAACTCTCAAACCCTCCATCATCAACCCCTCATTTCTCTGCTGCCACTTATTTCCATACCAGCTCTTTGCCTCCTTTCCTTACCCTATGAAACACCTCTCAGCCCTGTTCCCTGTCGCTTACCCACTCCCTCCTGCAGGGTTTGGGAGCCTTGGCATGAGCTCCATGGTGCAGAGCAGCAACAGACACCACAAGCCACTGCCTTACCCCAAACCAAGCTCCCACCCCCTCAGCTGCTCTGCAGAGCTCATTCCCTGGGGCACATGCAGAGCCATTGGAGGTCCTCCGCCTCACAAAGAAGGAGAAACCTCACATGTACTGAAAAATAACACCCTGCACAGAGCAGTTTCCACAAAATAACTGATGAGGAGGTGAATTGCATGAAAACATCAGAAGTGGATCTCCTTAACCACTCAGTGACTGGGACGTTCACAGGTTCCCCCCAAAGACAGCCTGTGCCCTCTAGGAATTCACTCCCTGCCACCACATTCAGAAAAACTTCCCTGAGCTGTCCCATCCCTGGGGACTGAAGTGCCCCGGAACAAACAGCAAGAAAAGCTGCAGAGGGGTGAGAGGAAGCAGAGGCAGTACCTGGTTTCCCTCTCCTCGTGCTGTATAATCAGGTTGCTGTAGAAGTTCTCCAGCGTGAGTTTGGCCACCGTCACTCTCTCCCGGGTGTGGTTACTCATGGGAAAGGATGTTGTAGTCCCTGCAGTCATCGCCATGGTAACATGTACTGAAACAGAGCAGGTCAAATCATTACTCACTTCAAAAAGAAAATAAAAAAAATACATTCCTCTTCCCCACTCTCCATCTCCAAATTCTTAGGCATGCCAGAATTCATAGTAAAGGCGCTGTTCTTTAGATATAAGAAACTCTATTAAAAGCTGCCTTATAAAATTATCCCAAGACAGCAGGAGGATGTGCTACCCACTCTAAAAAATAACATGTTGGCAAAACAAAGAGTGAATCATAGCAAAGAGCACTGCATGCTCTGGGCAGCTCACCCAGCTGTGCTTGTCCACAAATAAGGAAAATGTCCCTCTGGCAGAGCTGGGCTCAGCCTGGGGGAGGGAAAAGGGTAGGAGAGAGAAGGATAAGGCAGCTCCCAGAGCACAACACTGGGACAATTGTCACAACTCTGTGATCATTTCAGACTCCAAAAATTCTAGATGCTAAAAAATGGATGGGATAAAATAAGACAGCAAATGGAACAGACCCCTAACCCCAATCCAGAGATGTTATTTCAAGGATAAAGATGACCATCGAATATATTTGAATTTTAAAGCTGCTCCACAAAGTTATATATGGCCAGGTGATACTTATGGTTTAGGGCACATGGTCACTGGGCACCTAAAAGCTGGGGAGAAAGAATAAAGAAAGCACAAAGAAGAAAGGCTGCTCTCCTTGGGAGCTTTCATCCTGAACCCAAAGAACTTGGATGTACTGAACAACACTTTTTAATGCTGAAAAAAGACATCTCAGGGCAGCTCTGAATGCCCTGCAGCTGATCCAGGAAAGCCAGGGGAGATTAAAAAAACAAAAGAACCAGCACAGTTTGTCCTAAGATTCATACCCTACCTGGAAGTGGGTTGAGGCACTTTAGAAGAGCTTCATGGAAGAATAGCATGAAAAGCAGCATCTCAGCCCCAATCCCATTTGGTCAGGTTGTTTTGAGGTTAGTTTTAGAAACTTACACTTCACAGAACCATGTAATGGCCTGGGTTGGAAGAGACCTCAAATACTTTGTTTTCCACCACCCTGCCATGGGCAGGGACACCTTCCACTATTGCAGCTTGCTCAGAGCCCTGTCCAGCCTTGGACACTGCCAGGGATCCAGGGGCAGCCACAGCTTCTCTGGGCAACCTGTGCCAGGGCTTCATCACTCTCAGAGTAAAGAATTTCTTCCTCATATCCAATCTAAACCTGCTGTCTGTCAGTGTGAAACCATTGCCCCTGTCCTGTCACTCCAGGCCCTTGCCAACAGTCTCTCTGAATCTTTCTTTAGTCTCCCTTCAGGCACTTGGCTTCCTTTTCATTATTTATTTAATCCTTCAATTTCAACAGAGGATTGTGCAGAAGACAAATCCTGAATTAGGCTTAATTTAAGCAGATCCTAATAGGTTTTGAGGTGAACTGATTAGGGGTTTCATACAGAAAAGAACTCACACGTCCACACTGGGGCAGGAGGATGGCTGAACTCTGCTCCAGGCTCTTTGTTTTCATTCTGCCTGCTGCACTCTGAGAGGGTGGGATTTTTTCCTGTGGATTTTTCATGGGATCTGATGTGACAATAGGATATTTGTTGCCAGAAATGCAGCTGCTGTGTCACAAATAAAGGCGTTTTATAGCATCATGTAGATATTATTTTAGCTGTTTATTTTGAAGTGCACAAGACACCAGAATTCTGAGAATAAAAATATATCTCTCCATAAAGGCACAAAGAGGTTTTAATAGCACTACAGCTGCTTCAAAGTGATGCCAATATTTCTATTTTTAATCAATCTTTTATTCCCTTCAGTTTTCTACTGAAGAAAGATGAGATCTGTCAATTCCTAGCAGCGTTTACTAAAAATTAGGCAGTTCTGTTCTTCACAAAGAAACATCTCCCATGCTGGACACATCTCCAGAAGCTGGGATAACTTAGCACTGTCCTCACTGTTGTGTTCATTGTACGATTTTATACCTTTTCCCTCAGTAGGTGGGAAAAGATAAATACGAATCAGTTGATAAGTGCAAATCAAACAGAGCAACAGCTGACCACACACTGGCATCTGTGATTAAGTTATTTCAAGAAATGACCTAACAGAGTAAAAACCTGCCTTCTGATAATTTTGGAACATCAGGATAGAGCAGCATTAACCCAGGCTTGAAATGGATTAACCTTTACTTAAGTTATAGCAGGCACACTCTCACACCGGATATTTCTCCTTTGCACGTCTTGTATTCCTGGTAGGATAAAACAACACTGCAACTTGATTTCCTGTTCATTTGTTTTGCCCGTGCTCTACCCTAACAAATGCAGGCACTGCCAGACAGCAAATCCAAGTCACTGGGCTTTATTAAACTTGTAAAAAGGAGATCCCAATCCCAGCACTGGCACCCCACACTATCAACAGTGGGACTGACCCTCATATGCTTCACAGGAGGGAAATACAGATGAGTGTCCACAGTTAGCTCTGCCACTGTGGGGAAAAACATCAACCCAAAACCACCACAAAGAAAATATTTGTAAAAGCAGGCGGTGCCTTAAGCTCTCCAGAGTCCCCAAATGAAAAAGAGCACAGACCTGGCAGGAGGCACGAGATATCCCAGAAATATCCTATGCGAACTCACAGCCGAGAAAACCTCTTCAGCCTTTTTCCTCCTGTCTCTGCTTCCACTAATGAGCCCCCAAACACAGCACAAATCCACGTCCCAGACAAAATATTCAGCTGGGAGTCACCAAGTACAGTCCTGAAGCGTGACCTTTAAAAACAAATGATGCAGAGGGATGGGGGCGGGAAGGAAGGAGCTCCAAAATAAGACCTTTTATTGACAGCACACTACTTGTACTGACCTCACCACATTAACAGGAAGGCTTTAAAAGGTGCCACCCATAATTCTTGGAAATGCCCTCACAAGCCTACTAGTTCACCCAAATCCATGCTACTTCCATAATGGAACTGTTCCACTCCTGCTGCATCACTGGAATTACTTTAGGCTCCGTGGACCATTAAGAATGTCATATTCAACCAGCTGGCCACATTTAGCCAGAACTCCTCTGGCTGACAGGGATTTTTCTGAAGGGCCTGGAACATCCCCAAGTGTGTGGAAGAAAGACATCAAACGGATGTAATGGACAGGAGCTGCTGAGCCTGTGGGACCAGGGCTGGGAGCTGCCAGGAGCAGGGATGCCATATGTGCTGCCTGGCCCAGGAAATGAGCCCGTGCCTCCTGCAGGGATGGCTGAAATCCCAGCCTGAGCTCTCCTGATGCCAGCTCGGCACCTGCAGCATGGGGATAAGGAGCTATGGATGTGCAGCAGCCAGGGAAAATCTTGCTACCAGAGGCAGGAGGGAGAAGAGCACAAAGGGGAGGAGAGGAGAGATGTTCCTGAAGGATGAGGGAGAGCAGGGAACAGCTACAGAAAGGGGAGAGCAGCCAAATGCTACTGAACTGGAGCCTTCAAGAGATGTCTCCAAGCAAGTCCCTCCTGATCCACCACTGAAGAGAATATGTCAGTTGGATACAACTCTCCCTCTTGGTAGAAAAATGTTGCCTAATCAAAGCATACATTTGACCTTTTTGTTCCTAGATCTTTCCTGATTGGGAAGCAGAGAAAGGCCAAGCAGCATTGACTCCAACTTCAATCTGCACTCCCATTTGTCACAACAGCTCTAAATCAAGCTCTACATCTGTTGGCCTGGAGTTTCCACCCTTTAAACCCCCACACCCAGATTCTGCTACACTGGTAACTCCAAACCCCACATCCTCTCTGGGACATCTCTTGGCAGCACTCACAGCCTGTCATTGTTTTGATTAAACTATTGGATGAAGTCTGTTATTAATGAGTGCAAAAATCACTGAGCCATCCAATCCCACCTGCTGCAGCAGTTCCAAAGAGGAGAGATGGAAGAAATCAAAGCAAATGGAGAACTGTTCTGCCCTGAAACACAGCATTCTGTGGGATCACTTTCTAATCAGGAAGGGGTAAGAAGATAGAATCCAAGCCTCCTGCATAGCTGTGTCAGTAAGAAAAAACACAGGATATATCAAATCAGGCTGAATCTATACTATCAAACTAATCTGAACCCAAGTCACACACTGGAAACATAATTTTTCTTTTTGAAGCCACATGTGTAATACAGTTACACAGTAGTCCTAGAATAAATTTATTCAGGACTCAGTGAGTATTAGGGAGCAAACTCCACACCCAATTCTGCCAGAGAGAAAAACATCTTTTTTCCACATGACAGAAGGATGCTGCTGGTCAATTTGGATTTACAATGTCAAGCTACCTGCATGTTCAGCAGGACAGGGAAGAGCAATCCTCCCTCCAAAATGACATCAATTCACAGAAAGACTGATAATAATTTTAATTTATCCACCCAAGCATACCCCTTAAGCTTAGCAGTTAGGAAGGCAGTTTTGTATTACAGTAAAAACTGCCAAGTTTATGAAATTTCCATTTAACATTCCAAGAGAATTTGCCTCTTGAATCAAAGCCTCTGGATAAGGCAGATACCAAAACATATTTTAGCCTTTCAAAATTCCCAGGGTTTCAGCATGACTGTGAACTTGCTCCTGAAATGAAGTATACAAATGGCATTTTTCAAGAATTAGGAAGTAAAAGAGAAAGGAGAGATGAAGCAAACGCATCAAGCACAATGAAGTGGGTACCTTCAGAAATTCCAGCTGTCGCCACTGTGCCCAGAGCTGGGGTTCTTCTGGGTGAGAAGTGAGAGCAGACTCTGCTTGGCTCCTTCTAGACAACCCAGCCCAACAACTCACCAAGCTGGACACTAAAACCCACGGCTGACAAAGAATATATTTTTAAAAATGACAAGAATTATATTTAAAAAATGAGGTGCTATCTAGGAAAGCAGCACAGACAGCATAAAGCTTTGAGCACAAGCGCCAGCCCTGCGGTCTCCAAATTGTTTGAATTCTCTTAAAGAGAGACAGGATATATATAAAACTGGAAAAAACCAACCCACCATACACAAATAACAGCATGATTCACACTCAGGGGCA